AAAAAAAAAAAAAAAAAAAAAAACAAAAAAAACAAAAAAAAAACTAGGAGCCAAATATAGGAATGAAAACCTGAGAGAGATCAGAGGAACAGAAACAGCCACATGCTAACCTCACCTCACCAACTCTACAGCTTCCAAAAGCAAGACTTCCTATCTACCTATGCCTATATGCCTTGATATTCTGCCATCTGATTTGTTCTCTCTGTCCAGCTACATCACTTCCTCTTCCTGCCCAGCTCTGCCACTTCCCGTCAGTCTGTACAGACCTCCAGGGTTAACTAGTGTTGGAATTTAAGGCATGTGCCACCACACCTGGCTCTGTTCCCAGTGTGGCCTTGAACTCACATAGATCCAGACAGATCCCTGCCTCTCAAGTGATAGGATTAAAGGCGTGTGCTAACATTGCATGACTTTTGTTTACTATAGTGGCTGGCTTTTTCCTCTGATCCTCAGGTAAATTTTATTGGGAGACACAGTATATTGGGGAACACAATACATCACCACAAATATTCAAATAAGTTAAACATATCAATCTCAATTATTTATCATTTCTTTTTTTGCATTTTCATCAAGTTTTTTAAAATTTATTTATTAAATTTAATTTTACATATCAGCCATGGATTCCCTTGTTCTCCCCCTCTCCTGCCCCCCCTATTTATCATTTCTTTATAGGAAAAAGTTTATAAATAATACAGAGCATGGTACAAAAGAACTTTCAAAGTAGAAGAAATGCAGTGTTTAGTTTTTTTCAGACAGTCTGTTGAGTAATCTTGGTCACTTTGCCCTATCACCATTTAAAATATTTTTAAATAAGCAAAAGTTACTTCTATTCCATAGAGAAGGTGGTGATATTACATAAGCTTTTTATTGATATGTTTAGAGTGTGTTCTTTTTTAAAAATGTATTAGTAATGGCTACTGTTACACAGAATAATTATTATTTGTTTTCATATATTTTTGCATTTTCCTAATGTTTTTTAATGAACCCATTCCATATTATGAACATTTTAAAATAAGAAAGGAAAATGATGGATTTATAAAGCAGAACTCTTGGACTACATCTTTCTTTCTTTCTTCAAGTCATTCAATTTTCTGTCCACTCAGTCTTGTCCTCTAACTTTAGGTGTGTGATTTCAATATAAGGTAAGGGTGCAAGGGAGTAACAACCAAGCAGGCAGGCTAAAAGTGAATTTTACTGGATGCTGTGGAAGCATTATTATCCCTAAACAAAATTCTCTGAATGTCTGTGAAGTAATGTCAAAAACCTGAATCTTAGATCTTTCTCTGTTGAAATGAATTGGCCTCTTAACTAACATAGAATCCCAGGTATCCTCTAACTTTGCAGTTTTTGCTGATTTTTGTTTTTGTCCATTTTGTCAAGAAGGGACATTAAAAATCACAGGATGTTTTCATTTAGATAACAGCATGATGGATAACTGAACTATCAAGAATTCATATGCCAATAATCAGGATGCTGGTATTACATATAAATGCAGATTCATCAAAAGTGTTCATTACCCTCTTTTCTGTTTTTCGTGTAGGGCACAAGAAAGTATGATGTAAAGGAGGATGTGGAGTGGAAAGAAGAAATTAATGAGTACTTTCATGTTTTTCCTTCTGTCAGTTAATAAGCAGAGACTTGATCTGGAAAATACATAGGTCATCCACAATGCACAAAGCATTTCCTTGAGTCTCTTTAGAAGTGTGCTTGTGGCAGAGGTGTAAATGATGGCTAAGCCTCTCAGAGGAAAGTTAGCTTTAGAAATTGTGTCCATTCCTGTTACTACCATGAAAAATAAGCAAGGATGGCATATTCAGTACAAGGTACCCAAGTTCTCCCCTAATAAAACTGCTGCCTTTCCTTTATGGCCTGAATGTTGTCCCTCAACCAGTAGACAAATCCCTAAGAGGTCCACCTGCCTTCCATTGGTTACTGCCCACTTGATTGCTCCTCATTGTTTTCTTTCTATCAAGACTGGTCAGCATCACCCACCTATACTCCTATAAACATTCTCTCCTTCACCACATAGCTATATCTTTGACATATGCCTCCACCTTTTCATTTCGCTTTGACATCTGGCCTGGGCACACAGGTCTTGTGCTTAGTATAGATTCTCACTCATTGTCTACAAAATGTTGCCAAAAATAATTAACCTTAATGCTTTGGTAGACTGCAGTCAAGACTGACCTTGATCTCTTTATATGACTTTTGATCCTCTTGCCTCAGGGTTTTCCAGAGTGATTACAGGAGTCAGTCATCACATCTGGCTCAATATATACAAAATATTCTGTGTATTTACCATTTTAAAAATGAATTTATACCACTTATTTATTTATTTTTATTTATTTTTGAGAAAGGTTAAATGTCATGAGAGGCCTTGAACTTGTAGCAATTCTTCTGTGTCAACCTCTCAAGTGAAGGAATTACATGTATAAATTTTATACACGTGTAAAACATTACAGGCAGGATATGCTTGGTGTTCCAAACAGTCATCACTTTGCAATGTGGCTATTTAGGAGGCCTCTTGGGTGAGTGAATTCCGAGGTGGGCTAGTGGAACTTGGGCAAAAAGAAAGATGGGAAAGAATTTCAGGTGGGTAATCTTGCATATACAAGTCTAAATAAATGATATTTTGAGCACTTTCATGGAATGTTTTAAAAACAGTTTCCTGTAAAAACAACCCTAGCTCCAGTTGTTATTTTCTTCCTACAGTGTGACTACATGGTTAGCCTGGAATTGATTCTGCACAACTTTCCCATCATAGATCCCAACAGTAAAGGAAACAACTCAACACCTAAGAACCTTGGATGAAGATCTTAGAGAATTCCCTCAAAGCACAGCATTCTATGTCATTCTGTCTCAAAAAATTTTACATTATTACTCTTTTCCTCTTTTATTCATTTATATGTGCTATTAAAGAAGTAGTATGATTTTCCCTTCAAACTTCTGGACTAACATAAAAAGACATTGTAGGATGGCATACTGCTGTCACCTCAACTTTCCTATTCCCTGGTGGATTATCCATGATGACAATAGTCTCTTGAGGAAGATGATCACTAAAACTTAGGGGATAACATAAATTCTAAGTTAAAAAAAATGAATATTTTATTTTCTTTTATATATAATATGGAAAAACAAGCTTCAAGACAAAAGGGAAGAAGTGACTAGGAAACCAGAAAATAAACAGAAAGATTTGCAAATTCACCTCCATTGCAGAAGAAAATAGTAACTGTGGTTTTTTTTGTTTAAAAAATTTAAGTTGCCTGTATTTAAATTCTACTGATTATAAAATGCCTTCCTTGTGCCTCCTATTTTTTTTTCCTGAAGGCCTCTTCCACTGTTCATTGCTGAATTACAGATTTTAGCCATATATATCGGGAGAAAAGGCCAAGTTTCAATTAATGTACATTTAGTCAGAAAGAAGGACATAGAAGAATTTTATTAAACAATGTGATGTTTTTGCTTCTGCTTATTAGGAGAGCAGCCCAATTCCTTTCCAGAGCATAAGCTGCTATTATTTGTGTGTGTGTGTGTGTGTGTGTGTGTGTGTGTGGCTTATTTGTTTAGACAGGATGTCAGGTAGCCCAGGCTGATCTCAATCAAACTCCTTATATAACTGAAAATGACTTTGAACTGATCCTTTTGCCTCCACCTCCCAAGTATCAGGATTACAGACCTGCACAGGTTGTGCTATGAAAAACAGCTCTGTGTGGTACAGAGTTATGTGAGGGGCCCAAGGACAGGGATGAGGTAACTGAGTAAGAAGTAGAGATCTGAGCAATCTGTAAGACATTACTGAATAAGGCAAGGGAAGAGGATAGAAATCCAGGGCTTAAGGGGACTAGCCAATAAAACATTTGTTGTCACTGCTGGACCTCTGATAGAAAGTTGAATTTCCTAGTGTCACTTGTGACCACAGAGAACAATGCCATGTCAGTTTACAGTGAAAAGCTGTTGGTATGTGAAATTGTCAAAATTGGAGTGATCTTATTTACTATTCAAAACTGCTTTAAAAATAGGACAAATTTGTGAGTATCTAGGGCTTGGTGGGCCATGTGGCTTCTGGGCCTGATTCATCGCTCACCTGCTACTAGGGTTGGAAAGCAGCCACTGACAACATGACTGGGTGAGTACGCGCAATTAGAATGGCTTATGCAATACGAGAGGCCAGCTGAATTTGGCCCAGATGGCAGTTGGAGCCTTGGAATCATTATTTGGTTTTTACTTCAGTTATGTCATCATGCTGCATTCGGTTGTAGTATTACTTCTCTTTCAACCCCAAACCTTTGTCCGATATTTGACATATAAGGGATTGTGGTGAGGACGCATGGAAGAGGTGAATGATGAGTTAGGGATGGAAAGAGATACAGTAGAGAACAGAAAAGAAAGAGAGAGAAGCCAGACGGTGGTGGAACATCCCTTTAAGTCCAGCACTTGGGAGGCAGAGATGGGCAGATCTTTGAGTCTGAGGCCAGCCTGGTCTAGAGAGTAAGTAAGTAAGCCAGCATAGCCAGAGCTACACAGAGAAACCCTGCCTCAAAAATTAAAAAAAAGGGGGTGGTGGTGGTGGTGGCAATGGGGGGAGTCTCAGGAAGTGAGGAACAAAAATCAGTGAAAATCAGAAATCAGGAAAGAGGTGAAGAGCCTTAAGAGATCCAAATGAGTATGTGGGTGTCCCCCTAGAGATGAGGTACTTGGCTTCCATGGGAAAAAGCAAAGCCCACTGCTCCCCAAAGGCTCATAGTACACACCTTGACAGTTCCCATGCAAAATCATAAAAATGGCAATAATCCAGCTCAAGAAGTTTCCAACTTCTGTGTGTAATACCCTGTTTGAATTGTTTCTATTTTTGAATCTTAGTTGCTGCAAACATTTTGAACTCAGGATGTGCATAGATACCTGCTGTTCTCCTGACTTGCGAGCAGAGCTTGAGGGTGAATACAGCTGTCTTCTTGAGAATTGAAATGGATACTCACTTCTTTACACTTTTCATCTGTGGTATTGCTAATTGGTAGGGAGAATAAAAGTAAAACTATATGAATCATGTTAATTTTGAAAGTAACTAATAACTTTCATTTTGAGATTTAAGTTATAGATTTACTAAGTAAAATCTTGGATTAGGAAATACTAAACCCATTATGTCAGAAGACTTTAGCTTATCTATATATGTATATCCACACCTTAAACAACACATCTTACTATTTCTAAAATAATTTTGGTTAGTAAATAGGTTTACATAAGATTTTGACAACTTCATATACTAATAGCTTTTCAATGCAACCTGATACAGCATCATTGTGCTCTGTGATCATTAGTGATGTTAGGAAGTTCTACCTTGTATCAAAGTAATCCCCACCATTAGCACAGTAACAGCAGGTGTGATAAGGAACCCATCTTCCTTTCTACCTTTAGGCTCCACATCTACATATTCAACAAACTGCAAGTCAAAGCCATTCAAAATAGCTGCAACTCTGATGAAGTTGAGTTCATATAAAGTTCTGAACATAAAAAGGCTTTTCTCTTGCCATTTTCTCTAAGCCACATAGTATAACTATATAGTTTAAAAATATTTACACAGAATTTTCATTGTATTATATTGTCACAAATAATCTAGAGACAATTAAGATATGTAGGAGGTTACAGGAAAGTACTACCCTCTTTTTATGTAAGGTATTTGAACATCCAAAGATTTTGGTATCAGTGAGATTTCTAGAACCAAGGGCCTTCAGATTATAAGCGATGATTAGATACAGTAACTTACAGAAGAAGAAAATATTTAATTATTTTTAAGATCAGTAACAATTTAAATAATATCTAGCATTTTTCTGGCATTCATTATAAGCACAGCACTGCGTTCAGTAAGATAGGAGTTATTACCTCATAGGCAAGGAAGATGAAGCCTGAAGGTCAGTGTTTTGGCCAGGGATTCATAGCTGGTGACTGACAACACACTCAGGTCTGACTATAGGCCCCATGCTTTCACCAGAAATGCTACACTGTATCTTCTAGGGTAACTTAGCAAGTACTTTATATAACATAAACAACAAGTATGTATACTGCTGGATTTTTTGTGAGTTGGTATTAGAGTTAAGAACAAAAAACACAGATAACTCACTTACCACTACTCCTCACCACTCAACTCCTCTTTACCCTCTTAGACAGAAGCACGTAAGACACAGAGGAAGACCATGAATCACAGGCCAGTTTCTCTAGCACATGGAAGGCCAGTGTGAGACTGAAGATAAAGAAGAGTGAAGGCTGGTGATGTAGTAGTGAGACAAGCCATGTTGGAAAGTGTGCATAAATGATGAGTGGCACATGTGGGTGAGGTGGGACCTGCTGAAAGAATGTCCTTCTGGTTGGTTACTAGTGGTAATACAAACATAGGAAAATGCTTTTATAGATAATGGCTCTAAGAGTTTTGTTACTTCAAATATCATATCCAGGTAGGTGTCAATTTTTTCTCTGACTGGACAGGAAGGCTGCTTTGTATAGACCCAGGTATGATTAGAAACAGCAACAGGAGAGCAAGGTCAACAGCTCCAGTACATGCCTTATTAGACATCACAAACTGTCACAAAAAATACACTGGGAAATATCAGGATGTACAGAAGGAAATTTTTAGTTTATTGTCCCTGCACTCCATTTTCTTTTCATTGTAGTAATAGACTAGAGCATGTAAAAGGAAAGGCCATGGTTGGATACACAGGAGTATGAGACAAATCCAGTGAAGTGTGGGGGCAGGAGAATATTATAAAGAGGAAATACTGTAAAAAGGTAATAATTAGGTTTGGTAATATCTAAACTATTTGGTACCGTTGAACTATAAAAAATTAGTTCTGGATGCTGAATGATTTTACAAGATGGTAATTTTAATGATTCTCAACTGGATTTTTAAAAAGTAGCATAAAGAGGTCAAGATCTTTAGAATGATGATTTAAAATGTGGCTCAGAGGACAAAAGAAGACAATAAATGCTAAAGCTTTTTATAAAACCATGATGATTATGGTTATTCTTATAAAAATCTGGAGTACTTACTATATAAGAAATAAGAATCCACAGTGACAGTAATTATTTTGATATCCTGGCCATGGCCCACAACTCAGGTGAAGCCCCCTGCTCCACCAGAGGTCATGCAAGCCACCAGAACTCCAGGTAGGCTGCATGCCGAGGGACCCACTTCACTCTCTCAGTTTCCCCCAACTCAGGTAAAGTCCCTCTGCTCAACCACAGGCCACTCTAGCCAGAAAGACCAGAAAGGAAACAGAAACCAAAAAACAAAACACCCATCCGATACAAACTCAGAAATCAGCACCCAGACCTATAATTACCCCAAACCCAGATGCTTGGACACCAGTGCAAGAGCACAACCAACAATAGCTAAGGAAATATGCCACCAGAGCCTGGCTACCCTACTACAGCAAGCCTTGAATATTCCCACACAGATGAAGCACAAGAAAATGAGCTTAAAAACAACTACGATAGGGGTCCTTAAAGAAGAAATGAATAAATCCCAAGGAATACACAAAAAGACAAACAAAAAACTGGAGGAAATGAATAAAACCATTAAAGAAAGCCAAGAAAAAACAGATGAAGGAAATGAATCTAAATGTTCAAGACCTGAAAATGTAAACAGAAACAATGAAGAAGATACAAACTGAGGGAATTCTGGAAATGAAAAATCTAGATAAGTGAACAGGATCTACAGATACAAGCATCACCAACAGAATACAAGAGATGGAAGAGAGAATCTCAGGCACTGAAGATATGATAGAAGAAATAGATATATCTGTCAAAGAAAATGTTAAATCTAAAAAATTTCTGACATAAAACATGAAGGAAATTTGGGATACTATAAAAAGACCAAACCTAAGAATAATAGGTACAGAAGAAGAATCCCAGCTCAAAGATGCAGAAAATATTTTCAATAAAAATCATAGAAGAAAAATTTCCTAACCTAAAGAAGAACATGCCTATAAAGGTACAAGAAATTTACAGAACACCAAACAGATTGGAGAAGAAAAGAAAATCCTCTTGCCACTTAATAGTCAAAACACTAAACATACAGAATAAAGAAGAATATTAAAAGCTGTAAAGGAAAAAGGCCATATAAAGGCAAACCTATTAGAATTATATCTGACTTCTCAATGGAGACTCTAAAAGCCAGGAGGGCTTAGATAGATATCCTGACGACTCAAAGACCAGAGATGCCAGTCCAGACTACTATACAAACAAAACTTTCAATCACCATAGATGGAAAAAATGAGATATTCCATGATAAAGTCAAATCTAAACAATAGCTATCCACAAATTCTAGTCCTACAGAAGGTACTAGAAGGAAAACTCCAACCCAAGGAGATTAACTATACTCACAAAAATACAGGAAATAATCTCACACCAGCAAAACAACAAGGGAAGCAAACACACACACACACACACACACACACACACACACACACACACACACTACTGTCACCACCACCACCACCAAAATAACAGGAATTAACAATCATTGGCCACTGAGATTTCTCAATATCAGTGGACTCAATGCCCTGATAAAACGACAGACTAACAGAATGGATGTGAAAACAGGAGCCAACCTTCTGTTGCATACAAGAAACACATCTCAGCATCAAAGATAGCTTTTACCTCAGAGTGAAGGGTTGGAAAAAGATTTTCCAAGGAAATGGACTTTAATGGATACAAGAAAATGGAAATAACCTGCATCCTTTCACACCATCATGGATTAAAGCTGATTTCAACAACAATAGAAATAACAGAAAGCCTACAAACTCATGGAAACTGAACAACTCTCTACTAAATGACTACTGGATCAAGACAGAAAGAAAGAAATTAGACTTCCTAGAATCCAATGAAATTGAATGTACAACATACCCAAACTGATGGGACACAATGAAAGCAGTGCTAAGATAAAAGTTCATAGCCTACATAAATGCCTACATAAAAAAAATTGGAGAAATCTTACACTAGCAATTTAACAGCACACCTGAAAGCTCTAGAACAAAAAGAAGCAAGCACACCTAAGAGGAGTAGTGGGCAGGAAATAAACTGAGGGCTGAAATCAATAAAACAGAAACAAAGAGAGCAATACAAAGAATCAATGAAATAAAAAGTTGGTTCTTTGAGAAAATCAACAAGATCGATAAACCCTTATACAAGCTAACTAAAAGGCAGAGAGATTATCCAAATTAGCAAAATCAGAAAGAAAAAGAAGGACACAACAACAGACAGAAAAAATCCAAAGAATCATCAAGTTATACTTTAAAAGCCTATACTCGACAAAATTGGAAAACCTAAAAGAAATGGATAATGTTCTTGACAGACACAACTTACCAAAGTTAAACCAAGATCAGATAAACAACTTAAATAGATTTATAACCCCTAAGGAAATAGAAACACTCATTAAAAGTCTCCCAACCAAAAAAAGCCCAGGGTCAAACAGTTTTAGCACACAATCCTACCAGCTTTTCAAAGAAGAATTAATATCATTACTCCTCAAGTTATTCCACAAAATAGAAACAGAAGGAACATTGCCAAATTCATTTTATGAGGCCACCCAAGCCACACAAACATTCAACAAAGAATTACAGACCAATTTCCCTTATGAGCATAAATGCAAAATTATTCAATAAAATACTTGCAAACTGAATACAAGAACTTATCAAAAAGATCATCCATCATGACCAAGTTGGCTTCACCCCAGAGATGCAGGAATGGTTCACCATATGAAAAGCAGTCAATGTAATCTACCATATAAACAAACTAGAAGAAAAAAAAAACACACACACACAACTATCTCACTAGATGCTGAAAAAACCTTTGACAAATTCCAACACCCCTTCATAATAAAAGTCTTAAAGGGATTAGGGATACAAGGGGCATACCTAAACAAAAAGACAATTTATAGCAAGCCTGTATCCAACATCAAATTAAATGGAGAGAAATTCAAAGCAACTCCACTAAAATCAGGAATAAGGCATTCTTTTCATACCTATTCAATACAGTACTTGAAGTTTTAGCTAGCATGATAAGACAGCAGAAAGAGATCAAGGGGATACAAATTGGAAAGGAAGAAATCAAAGTATCATTATTTGCAGACAATATGATATTATACATAAATGACCCCCCAAAATTCTAATGGGAACACCTATAGCTGATAAACACCTTAAGCAATGTGGCAAGATACAAGAATAAGTAAACACACACACACACACAACAACAACAACAACAACAACAACAAAAAACCAGTAGCCCTCCTACATACAAATGATAAACTGCCTGAGAAAGAAATCAGGGAAATACCCTTCACAATAGCCACAAACAATACAAAGTATCTTGGGGTAATCCTAACCAAGCAAGTGAAAGACTTGTATAACAAAAACTTTAAGTCTGTGAAGAAAGAAACTGGAGAAGATATCAAAAGATGGAAAGATTTCCCATGTTCATGGATCAGTAGAATTAACAATATAAAAATGGCCATCCTGCCTAAAACAATCTACAGATTTAAGACAATCCCCATCAAAATTCCAACACAATTCTTTTCAGACCTTAAAAGAACAATACTCAATTTCATACGGAAAAACAAAACAAACAAACAAACAAACAAACAAAAAACAGCTAAAACAATCCTGTGCAATAAAAGAACTTCTGGAGGCATCACTGTTTCTGATTTTAAGCTGTAATACAGAGCTATAGTAATAAAAACCACAAAATAATTGGCATAAAACCAGAGAAGTTGATCAATGGGTTTGAATCAAAGATCCAGACATAAATCCACATACCTATGGACACCTGATTTTTGATAAAGAAGCCAGAAATATACAATGGAAAAAAGAAAGCATCTTCAAAAAATGGTGCAGGTCTAACTGGATGTCTATAGGCAGAAGAATGCAAATAGATCCATATTTATCACCCTGCACAAAACTGAAGTCCAAGTGAATCAAAAGACCTCAACATTAAACCAGACACACTGAACCTGACAGAACAGAAAGTAGGGAATAGCTTTAAATCCATTGCCACAAGAGACAAATTCCTACACAGAACAACTATAGCACAGGCATTAAGATGGACAACTAATAAATGGGACCTCATGAAAGTGAAAAGCTTCTGTAAGGCACATTGTCAATAGGATAAAACAGCAGCCTACAGAATGTGAAAAGCTTTTTCACCAACTCCACTTCTGATAGAGGGCTAATATCCAAAATACAGAAAGAACTCAAGAAACTAGACATCAAAACAACAACAAAAAAACCCAAACAATCCAATTAAGAAGTGAGGTACAGACCTAAACAGAGAATTGCTGTGTGATGTCTTTCTGTATGCTGTGAATATGTGTTGCTCTGATTGCTTGATAAATAAAGCTGCATTGGCCTATGGCAAAGCAGCTTAGAGGCAGGTGGGAAATCCAAGAAGATATACAGAGAGAAGAAAGGAGAGGGGGGGAGAGAGAAGCCAGCCACCGCTGTGCTGGGGGATGGTCTGTATGTCAAATTGCTCTGATTGGTCAATAAATAAAACACTGATTGGCCAGTGACCAGGCAGTAAGTATAGGCATGACTAACAGAGAAGAGAATTGAGAGAACAGGAAGGCGGAAGGAGTCACTTCCAGCCACCGCCATGACAAGCAGCATGTGAAGATGCCTGTAAGCCACAAGCCATGTGGCAAGGTATAGATTTATGGAAATGGATTGATTTAAGCTATAAGAACAGCAAGAAGCCTGCCACGGCCATGCAGTTTGTAAGCAATATAAGTCTCTGTGTTTACTTGGTTGAGTCTGAGCGGCTATGGGACTGGCGGATGACAGAGATTTGTCCTGACTGTGGGCAAGGCAGGAAAACTCTAGCTACGCCGCTGAAGAAGCAACAAGATGCCAGCAGATAGGCAACGCCATGGCCACATGGCAACATACAGATTGATAGGAATGGATTAATTTAAGTTATAGAGCTAGCTAGCAAGAAGCTGAAGCCATAGGCCATACATTTTGTAATTAATATAAGCCTCTGAGTATAAGTGGCTGCGGAACTGTGGGTGGGAGATTTGTCCAGACCTTGGGGCCAGGGTGGGGCCAGAGAAACTTCTGTCTACAGAGAATTCCCAATAGAAGAATCTCCAATGGCCAAAAAATGCAAAGAAATGTTCAACATCCTTAGCCATCAGGAAAATATAAATCAAAATGACTTTGAGATTCCATCTTAAACTTGTCAGAACAGCTAAGATAAAAAATATAAGTGACAGCTAATGTTGGTGAGGATGTGGAGCAAGAGGAACAATCCTCTATTACTAGTGGGAGTGCAAACTTGTACAGCCACTATGGAAATCAATATGGTGGTTCCCCAGAAAACTGAGAACTGACATATGTCAAGACCCAGCTACATCACTCTTGGGCATATGGCAAAAAGTTGTTCAACTACATTCTACATTCATAGCAGCTTTATTCATAATAGCCAGAAACTGGAAACTACCTAGATATCCCTCAACCAAAGATTGGATAAAGAAAATATGGTATATTCACACAATGGCACTTCTAACAGTGGGAGGGGGTTATCTTTGACTCTTTTGCCTGCTCTTGAGACCCTTTTCCTCCTACTGGGTTGCCTCATCCAGCCATGATATGCAGGTCTGTACCTAGTCTTACTGTATCTTGTTATGCTGTTTGATTGATATCATTAGGAAGCCTGCTCTTTTCTGAAGGGTAAGAGAGGGGTAGTGGATCTGGGAGAGGAGGGAGATGAGGGAGGTAGAAACTTGGAGAAGTGGAGGGAAGAGAGGCTGCAGTTGGTATGTACTGTATGAGAGAAGAATAAATAAATAAAATAATAATTTTGTGTGAATAAAGGTATTTCCTGCTCACAAGAAGCTGATGATCTGGGAAGGAGTGAGTAGAATCGCATGGAACAGGAGGTGATATTAATAAATAATAGAGTGTGAGGAGAGGAGTTTTTCAAAATCCCTCAAGTATCACTACAATTTGTAAGGCAATGTTTTTGTTTGTTTTTACTTTTTTTTAAAAAAACTAAGCTGGAATAAAACAAGCAATTCCTTAATTGGGGGCAGGAATGGAATTACACAAGTAGATATTCTAAATCTGGGAAAGCTGGGGATTACAGTGACATGTGAAATCATCAGTGTGACAAATGTTGCCAAATTTGATATATTATGATCAACTGTTTGTCCACTCCCAAAATGACAGATTGAAATCCAAAACTGCAATGTGAGAGTATGAGGCAAGACTTTGAGAAATAATTGATTCCTGAGGGTGAAACCCCTGTGATAGAGATTGGTACCCTTGTGAGAGCTCATACCTTTTTTCTGCCACGTGGGGACAAGTAAGAGGACTGTAATTTATTAATTGTGAAGTTGATTCTCACTAGGTAGCAAGTAGGCTCTCCAGCCTTCAGAACTGTGAAAAATCAATGCTCATTTTCTAAGCTACCCAATTTTGTATTTTGCTATAGTTAGCCACATAGACTGAGATGGCTGATTCATTAGAACAATGAACATGAACTGTGAACTAGGTTTAGGACTAGTTAAAATGCATTCTGATCTTTTGCAATACTCTTAGTAATGGCTGACATGTTTATTCCTTTATTCATGGTAAATATTTCAAGCACCTCTGTGTATCAGGGACAGCCAAATTTCAATGCTTCTACATTGGCAGCCTAGGATGTGTGTGCCATAGGATACCCCATTCAACTTCTGGTGCTGTGATCAGTCTATGTTTATAGGTCAGCATCTGCTGTATCTCAGCCACAATAAGATGTCAGCAGCTTCATACCTTTAAGAATCTTTAATACTGTTAAGAAACTCCTTCTGCCTGTTTGCTCTTTCTTTAATTTCTTCTGAAAAGGTTGTTTCTTTTTACCTATTATTTTTTTAAGTGCTGGTGGGCGGGCATTATGGCTCAGTGAGTAAAGGTGCATGATGCCAAGCCTGATGATCTGAATTTGATCTTGTGCCCTAAATAGTGGACTGACTTCCACAAGTTATCCTCTGACTACCACATTGGTGTTGTGGTGTGAGTTTGTGTGCGTGCACACATGTGTGGGCACACACACACACACACACACATTTACAGTGATTTTTATTATATATACTTCTTTTGGTGTAAATATATTATTTTGGGTAACCAAGGCCACCTTCCTGAGAATTACCACATCTGTCTTTATGGAAGTATGTTCTATTGCTTTGTTTTAATTTGCTTTGCCTTCAAGAAACATAAAATGATTTAATTTTTTCCTTTATTCATTCTCTCTCTCTCTCTCTCTCTCTCTCTCTCTCTCTCTCTCTCTCGCTCGCTCGCTCTGTGCATATACATATATACATATTTGCATGTGTGAGAGTACATGTATGTGATGTACATGTTAGGAGTCTTCCTCTATTGCTTTCCACATTATTCCACTGAGACAAGGTCATTAAAACCCAGAGCAAACTTATAGGACAAGTCTGTCTAGTCAGCTTGTTCCAGAAGAGTCACTGTCTCCACCTTCTGTGCACTGGAGCTATGGGAGGGCCACCATGTCTACTGGCATTTACCTAGGTGCTGGGGATCCAAACTACACTTGCCATGCAAGTGCTGTCACTACCAAGCCACCTTCCCAAGCTATCTTTGTTTTGTTTTGTTTGAGACAATATTATTCTGTGACACACACAGGCCTCAAACTCATGGCTATCCTGTCTAAGCCACCAGAATATTAGGGCACAGGTGTAGACCACAGCTCCCTGCTGCAGTTTTTTTTTTTTTTTTTTTTTTTTTGAGAATGTGGCAATACTCACCGTTTTTTATATTTCCGAATCAGCCAATAGCAAACAATGACAAGTAAAATAAAGATCACCCCAAAGACAATGCCTGAACAAGAAAACAAAATAATTAAGTAAAAAACACAATACAGAAGTTCTAAATTCTGTCTTAATAGCTAATCACACTGTTGGTTACCAATGACTCTTTCACATGTACCTTTACTCCAGGTCTGCTCTACCCTGGTTTTAATCCAGAACATCAGACCTACAACCACAGTACTATAGTTATGGGTGACCAGAGCATTCTATAAGCTTCTTCTCAATAATACAGCCCATCATAGCAATGGTGCTGCTTGGCTCAGCATACAAGGCTTACCTAAGTCTTTAATGTAAGGCATGACACAGGCCACCCTATGCAATAGAAATCCCCTTGATATCAAACTCTGTATTAATCCATTTGTGCTGGTTAAATAGTCAACTTGACACAGTTAAGAGTCACTTGAGAGTCTGTCAGGAATTATCTAGCTCTGGTTGACCTATGGGCATATCTGAGGGAGGTGTCTTAATTACATGTATTAAGGTGGCACCGCAGACCTACACTGCAGGTGGCATCATTCTCAGGCAAGGTATCATGAACTGTGGATGTGAGCAGCTGCTTCAAGTTCCTGCTGCCCTGACTTCCTCATAATCATGGATGATATCCTGCAATTATTAGCTAAAAATAAAAGCTCCTTTCTCTTTTAAGTTGCTTTTGTCACAGTATCTTATCACAGAAACAGAAACTTCAAAGGTGAAGACAATACAATATCCTTCTATCTCCAGACACAAGATTCACTCACATGGTGGTCTTATGACTTTAATGGTACAAATTATCAGGGTGACTACCCAGAAACATATTTCCAGGTACAAAGCAAAGAGGAAGTTGTCTCTCCTGCAATGTTAAAATAAAGAATTGTCGACAGTGAAGAATGTTTACCCATTCAAATGATTCAAAGATGAAGTCCCTCAATGTGCACAAGGATGCCAATCTTATGACAACCCTAAACCAGTAGTTCTCAACCTTCCTAATGCTGTGACCCTTTAATACAGAGTTCCTCATGTTGTGGTGACCCCAAAAACAAAATTATTTTCATTGCTACTTCATAGCTGTAATTTTGCTACTGTTATGAAACATGATGTAAATATCTGTGTTTTCTGATGATCTTAGGTGACCCCCGTGAAATGGGGTCATGACCCACAGGTTGAAAACTGCTGCCCTAAAATTACATTAATTTTAATTGAACTTAAAAGAAGGTATTTTGACTTCTTTTTACATATCATTTATTATAAGTAGGTACTTACTGTTTCTGATATTGGAATTTCTCAGCAAACTCATAACAAGACTTACCAGCTATGAGACTGATGTTTGTGCCTAAAAGAGAAACAAAGCCACATAAATGTTAATGGCACATAATGTGGCCACATGGCTGCTTTGGCTAGTATGGTTCATTCTGATATTAATCTAGGAGTCAGTTATTGTTTTTATAATACAAAAAGCCTTTGGTGTCACTCCTACAATCTCATTTTATCATTTTCACTCACCGAAAACTTCTTTATATTTTTATTATAAAATACTATCATTACAGAAGAACATTTATAAAGCTTCTTTCACCTCAGAAATGGCACAGGACTTCTGAACTAGGAAGATCTATGAAGTGAGAAGACAGCAGGGCATTTGTGCTTTTGAGAGATAGTTGGGACCAAAAAAGAAATAAACTGGGTTCTAATAAAGCAGTTGCACCAATGAAAGGGATCCTGGAGCATAATGAAAATGGACTTCAGGACATGCTTTGCATATCATACTGGGAGCCTCACTGAGAATTACAATGAAGACTTCTCTGAGTTTTCACATCTTCTCTGAAGATGAACTTACCAGTCTTGAAAGCAACACCATGCTTACATGTGTTATAACAAGATTAGTCCTTGCCTAAATGGCTGTGATCTTACTAACAGGTCACTGAGCTGGTGATGTGGTAGGCTGGAGAATGTCAGGGCATTCATCCTCTGGGATTGGTACGCAAAGGTAATTGTTCTTCTTTTAATTGCTCTCAAAAGTTCCCATAGTGAGCCATTCCAAGGCTATAGCAACTTGAAAACTTACTCTCTAATTTCCTTTTTTAGGAAGACTAATGGCTGGTATCTTGGGTAATTTATTCTCAGTCATAGGGTCAAATACTGTTTTTTTTTTCTTTTCGTTCATTTTTTTTCCCTTCTACGCTCTCACTTGGCTCTTCTACCCATAAAAATTTCAAGGTTTGTTACCAGATGGTATTGAAAGGATTAAGAATCCAAAGGAGGCTGCTTTAGTCTAGATCTCAATCCAGAGAAAAAGTTCACAAGTGATGCAGCACAATCCATGGCATTTACCCTAAAATCTGATTCCAAGAACCTTCTATTTGGTACATATTTGGCCCCTTTTGTCTCTAACTCTGTGATGGATAGTTTTGTGTCAACTTGACATCTGCTAAAGCTATCTGAGAAGAGGGAATCTCAATTAAGAAAATGCCTAAGCCTATAGGGCATTTTCTGAATTGGTGACTGATGGGGGAAGAGCCCAACCCATTGTGCATGGTGCCATGACTGGGCTGGTGGCCCTGGGTTCTATAAGAAAACAGGCTGAGAGAGCCAGTAAGCAGAGTTCCTCCATGGGCTCTGCATCAGCTCCTGCCTCCAGGTTCTGGATCTCTTTGGAGCTCTTGTCCTGGCTTCCTTTGATAATGGACTACAATGTGGAAGTGTAAGCCAAATAAACCCTTTTCTTCTCCAGTTGATGTTTGGTATCTTTATCTAATAGCTGTCCTCCCTTTAACTACAGTACTGGAAATTATTCCTCTTGACAATTATTAATGTAGGACTTTTGTTCGTTTATTTGTTATAGCACACTGTCTCTAACGGTATGTGCCGTGACTGATTGTACCTAGGCTACATTATTTTTGTGGTTTGGGGCAAGTTATCTAAGCCCTTCATGTTTCAGTTTCTTTATCTGTAAAAACATTAACATTTATTAGAATATATCTATCTATCTATCTATCTATCTATCTATCTATCTATCTATCTATCTACCTATCTACATACCTATCATCTACCACCTATCTTATGCCTATCACTAGCCTTTGAACATCAGTACTAAATGTTCAATATACTTTAACTTTTATAATTATTACCATTACAGCAATAGTACTTATGATAAAACTATTAACCTTTTATTCTATTTTATATGTATTTTCTATCTCTTTAGTACTTTCTTATTTACATTTCAAATAGGTCAACAGGTCCAAAATGTGAACAATTTTTATAAAATGTTGGCTTCTTTATTTGTTGGTAGTGCTAAAGATCAATGAAGGGTGTTTGCAGAAGACAAGGTGGAAAGACTGTAAGAGCCAGGGGGATGGAAGAGGAAACAATGCCTTTTGGACATAACAGGACTGATGCACATATGAACGCACAGAGCCTGTGGTAGAATGCACAGGGTCTGCATAGTTCCAAGCCAGATGGAGTCCCAGCACTGAGAGGGGGAAGTGGACATGATCTCCAACTGACAACAGCTTTCAAATGAAAACTTATTTTTCTCCAATGGAGTCTCACTGGGTACAAAGCTACACTCAAAGACAGGCCCCATGCCCAGCAGTAGATGACCAACTCAAATGAACACAGCGGTATTGGAGATTTTTTTTTCTGTCTTATGTTGCTTAACGTGGGCATTTTTTTTTTCTTTTTAGCCTTACTGGTCTTTTGTTTATATATATTATGGTTTCTGATTTTGTGGTTTTCTGTGTGGGTATATGTCTCTCTGTGTATGTGCTTCTTGTACATTTTCTACTCCTGAAGTCATACTTGAAGTGATTTTACTAACATCCTAACTTGTTGTATTTTGAGATAGCATATTCTCAACTCTCTTATCCCTACACACTGTAACACCTCATCACAGTAGGCACCGGAAGAGATAGATGACTGGGCAGTCAGTGACTTTGCTGGGCAGGGGCTCCAATCCTTACATTTTGTACTTACGAGATACACATTTGGCCAGAGGAGGATCCCAGCTGGCATCTGACTGGCACTGGCTCTGAGAACTGCCTTCTAGAGTATACCCATCCTCACATTCCAAAGTTACATTATTTCCATAGTAATATTCTTTCATTTTCAACTCTTTCTGGACTCCACTCATATCCTGTGGGAGGCTACATATCACTTCTGCAATTAGAAAAATCACAAGAAAATTAGTATTTTGTTGTTAATTGAAACTGCTATTATAGAAATATTTGCAAACCCAAACTTTGCCTTCTACAAAAATGTGCATATTTTCAATAAAGAATTATTGTCACCTCTCCAAACTTTTTATGCTTTAAATATTTTTCTTTCAGTTTTGGTTTACAGTAAGGAAATGTGGGACACTTGTGATTATCAAATCTGTAGTTGGAAATTTTTAGAAAGATCAGAAGTTAGGACAACCATGATTGAGCCCTGGATCCATGCAAGCCACACCTAAAGAAAATACCAATTTTATGTTAAATCTCTAGGTATAGAACAGAGTATGATATTTGAGCTCTGGAGTAAGTGAATACTTCCAGTCTGCTTTTGTATATAGAACAAAGAAGTTAGTAACTTGCGATTCTAATTTTAAATACTAACTTTCTATTTAATTCCTTTATTTGATTTCACTCATCCTTGAAATTGCTTTCTTTTTCTTTCCAGCCATCAATATCTTCCTCAACTTCAAGTAAAACCTCTTTTTCTGTTGTAATTGTCTAAGATTTACCTAAAATATGTTTCTCTCTAAAGGTATCAACAACGTAAAGTGACATTTCTGCAAGTGTGGTTTTTCTATATTAGAGTATTTTGACTGATTTGTTAAAAGTAGCCTTTTGACCCTTCTTAGAACAGAGTCCAAGTTCTGGAATGGAGCTAAGTAACATTCCAGGTGATTTTGCTACTATGATGGATGGAACTATAGATGAAAAGACACTGGTGTAAAGTGTGCTTTACTGGTTAAGAAAAAATGAATTATGCTAATAGTGGAGAGGGTTGATTCAAAACAAACTTTTATGAAAGTAATCAACTTCTGTCAATAAGTCAAACTAGAATATAGAAGAAATTCTAAAAGGGAGGGTGTGGGTTAAAATATAAGAAGTTAGGGAGAGCAACTAGATTAAAGTATCACTATATATACTCACTTTCACACACAGGAACATGGCTATCCCAAACACTGTCCCTTCCAGACAGAACACAATGACTAGCAGAATTTCCTTTTAATTGAAACCTAAGGAAGAAAATGGTAGTGGACTGTAAAAAGTTTTGGTCAAAGTAATACTCAGTTCCCAGGTCTAGCCAAAAAAGCATCGAGGATTTTGAGGAAATGGAACCAGGAGGTGGAAGGGGTGTGCAGATGCTAAGCTACTCAACTACCACAGCTTCCAGCAGGTGGGTAAAACTGAACTGCAATATAAAGTCCCAGCCTAAACTAAAGAAAGTAGTGAGGGCACAGCCAGATCCTGGACCTTTACTCAAAAGCACTGATCAAGCTAAAAGGAACCTGGCGCTGCTCACTGTCACAACTGCAAACCCAGACTGCTAATGAACACCTTGCTGACACTGTCACTGGGAAAGTCGAGTTAACTGGTAGGAAATAGAGATTGTTCTTATGTCTCAGTTTCTGCGATTGTTATCTAGGAAGCTCACAACAGCATGCTAAGCTACTGAAGAATAAGTTAAACTTTTGTAAGTAATTCAGAGAAGCAGATGACTTATGAAGTACATGTCTATGGCCTGTAACAGACTAAAAATTTATTAGTGTTTTGTTCTTCGTGGGGGTGGGCGTTTTGTTGTTGTTGTTTGTTTTTCCTTTTAAAGCACTGGGACTGGAGAGAAAAATGGGAAGAGGAGAGGAGCCAACTTTTGTATGAAGTCATTTAAAATTCTCAAAGGATGTTTAGACCCTTATGCCCTCCTAAATCTTATTTGGCCCTAATATTTGGTGCCTGCCAAAGATTCTGCGAAGCACTGGAGGGCAGGTTCTTTGTTGTCCATGACTGGTAGTTTCACAGAAGCGTGTCTGCTGTGAAGAAGGTTTATGACCTCACCTAAAATATTAACATCAGACACCATGGTCCCAACTCAGAGCCCAGAGCCTATTGCTGATTCAATGATACAACAGTGGGCTTTAAAAAGCTGCCCCTTATTTTTTGTTTCTATTTTAAATTCTATTAGTAAGGTATTAATTTTTTCCCTAAAACATTGCTAAATGTATTGTTATTTGTATAAGCTTTTGTAACATATAAATTTTCTCAAAATCACTAGTGTTATTTTCTATTTAGAAAATGATTTTTTCACTTAGTGCATTACCTGTATATTTGAAACCAGTAGGTTTCCTTCATATCTCTTTTATCAATTCTACAAGTCACCACTCTTTCCTATATACAGCATCAGAAATTGTTTCTTTCCCATTTTGGATAAGCTCAGACTTAGTTTTAATGTCCAGCAGATCAAGCCTGCTCACACTCACCCTGGATTACAAACAAAGGACACTTTGGCTCCAAGTTGAAGATTTAGTGGAAATAGCACACGTCCATTAGGAAGATGTTCCAGGAAAGCACCACAGGATTTCACTGGAGAAAAAGAGCCAAACAGAAATAATAGCAATGTGTGGAGAAAAAAACACAAGTCATATATGTCAAGCCAGATGACAGCCTAGAAATCTGCATATGCAGGAGCCACAGGACTCTGAAGTGCAGAGAAATAGCTCCATGGAGAGTGTAGCCTGGCTCACAGCAGTAAAGCAGGTTCTGCTTGGGAGGGAAAAAAATCATCTTTGTTTGGGGGTATACTCCTAGTGTTGGATTTCTGGGGGCAGCTGACATATTAAGGGGGAAAAAGTCTCAAGGTGTGGAAAACATTTCTCTCAATGGTAAGCTGGATCACAGATGCCAAGAGGATCACAACTATGTGGAAAAAGAAAGAAGAAAAACAGAATAGCTTTATTATATAGGACAAAATAAACAACCTTTCTGTCAAATGTGACAATACAATTCAGACACTGTGACTACACCTGATGAATCGTGAGTTTATTGTTTCTCTCTAAGATGTACACTAAGGTCATAACACTCCCAATTTCTTTTTTGTTTTGTTTTTCCAAACAGGGTTTCTTTGTGTAGCCTTGCCTATCCTGAACTAGCTCTGTTGACCAGGCTAGGCTCAAACTCAGAGATCCACTGGGATTAAAGGTGTGCACCACCACTGCTCAGCTACACTTCCAATTTCTACTGACCCTACACAAAATTAAAGACTGATTATTTATTTCAGATTCCCATACTACCTTTCTAGAAAGGCATCACCAACTTTAAGTTTCACATTTTAGGCAATAAGGAGAACCTAAATTTTCTAACATATTTCCCAGTGGGCAACCACAATGGTGCTAACAGATTCTATTCGGATCTTTGAATCCTACTTCACTAGAGAACTACCACACTTTGCTCACTACACAGCTGGTGCTCTTGGCACTCATTTCATTCCATTGAGAAGACAGTTGGATAGCCATTGAGCAAAATCTTTTAAAAAACCTCCAGTTATCATAATGAGAACTATGCACTATACATTAAATATTCTAACAGTCCTAGGTCCAGCTTCTCTTTAAGCCAATTGTTTTGAACTCAGGGAGTGAGGATGCATGTGAGTCTTAACACAATTACTTAAAGCTGCAAAATGAGGGGGAAAAATCACACACACACACACACACACACACACACACACACACACACTAAACAAAATCCAAAACCACATATCAACTCAGTTCTCCTCTCTGAACTTTAGACTTCTCTAGTAAAACATGGGGTATTGGTCTAGAATGAATGATTTCCATGAGAATTTCCAAATATTTTTGATATTATAATAATTGTTTTGAGGGCTCATCTTTCAAGAGCTTCCCTTGACTAATACATTGAGCTGTGATATTTAAAGACTAGGCTGATTAAATTTCTAATGATTCCCAGTCTCATGCTATTTATTGCCTTTTAATTGTTTGTTATGGGTAGAAATATGAAAACTACAAGTTCTATGCTCTAAGACAGTGGTTCCCAACCTTCGCAATGCTGTGATCCTTTAATACAGTTCCTATATTTTGATGATCCCCAGCCATAAAATTATCTTCATTGCTACTTCATAACTGTAATTTTGCTACTGTTACTGAATCATAATGTAAATATTTCTGGAGATAGAGGTTTGCCAAAGGGGTCTATGCTCTAGAGGCTTTAATTAAGTTCTGCCACCTGGAAGATATATATCATTATAAAGGGCAAGATGTGACAGACACCTTTATGCATCCAGGGACAGCATCAGTTGAGGCAATCTTGGTGACTCTCAAGTGAGCAACAGCCACCCAAATTCTAGCAAGAGTAATGACCAGCAAGGACTGGCTCTATCCTGGAAGCAGTGGCAGGGTCTGGCTGTGTCAGCCATGACAGTGTCAACCATCACAGGACCAGCTGTGTCAGCTCTACTCCTGTAGTAACAGTAGCTCCTTGATCTTTGGCAACATTGTCTTCCTCCTTTTATTCTTCCTGTCCTTCTAAGATTTTATATCCCATTATCAATAGGAAAGCCTTCTTTCTTTTAGAGTCTGCCAGATGGGCAACCTTGGATTCTAATCTTTGCTCTGCAAGTTACTATGTATATTGTCTTAGAACATTAACCCCTAAGCCTCAATATGGAAGGAATGGTAACTACCCCATAGCTTCATTTTAGGAGTTAAATATGCATCCATTTAATATGATTAGCCATGGACCACTCATTACATATTAGTAAGTATTATACATATGAATAACTGATATGGGCTGGAGATGGCAATACATGGAAAGAACTTCTGTGTATGAGAACTCCCAGGATGTATCACATTCCTTGTTCATATTCAGCTCCTCCTCAATTTGAACGGATGTGCTTGTAAGGGTGCACAAACACTCACACAAACACATGTCCCTTCTTGATTTCATATTCCCTCCCAAGAAAATTTATTTATCCACCCTGTTCATCTTATGCCCTCTTCCAGAACCAACCCTTAACTCTGGTCCTCCAACACCCCATGGCATTGCAGGCTCTCCAAGCCCTGGTCAGACTTACCCTTGAAGCAAATTGGTAACTCTGGCTCCCATTTGTTTAGGTCATGACACTGCACACTACTGGCTCCTTCCATGCTAAAGCCAGGCTGACATTTAAACTCCACAATATCCCTTAAGGAAAACAAGCTTTTGTTTTCTGACACTATGAATGCATTTTCAACATGAGGAGGTGTACATTTCTTGAGTTCAATGCACTGAGGAGGAGGGCCACTCCAGACTCCAACTTTCTCTTCATTGCTGGTACAGTGTAAGGATGCCTCACCCACCAGGTTAAAGAGCTTCTTCCCTCTTGCATCAGATCTGCAGCGATAGGTAACCACCGTTCCATAATGATAATCTTCTGAGGTAGTAAGTAAATCTCCATTGGCAATGGAGGGGGGATCCTTACAAGAAATTACTGGGTGAAGAAAGCAGATTAAATTTTATTTAAATAATGATAGGGCAAATCTAATGAATCACTGAATTGAAATATTTATACTCATTATAAATGAATACAAATGTTCATTAAAAGCATTTAATATTTATTGACTTGTAGATGAGTTTTAAAATATTGCTATTCAGGTGCACACAGTAACATTTGTTCTGTCTTTCCTACCTATTTCTTATAAACACATGCAGTTACAAGTACAATCGACTTTTTCATTTGAAATAGCTCTTTGATTATATTACAGAGTTTATATCAGTTTCCAGATTTTTCTTCTTGCCTATTAATTTGCAAATTTGTTGTTAACTGAAAGGAAGATTAAAAAAAACATTCACTAAGAAAGAATAAGGGGTGAATGAAACACAAATGGATAGTACGAAACATATTTTGAATTCCTTCAAGTATGTAAGAAAATTGGTGAAACTGTAGATTACTATATACTAAGCATTTGAAAATGTAATGGATAAATGAAAATACAGACCATTAATATTCATTCAAAAATATGTAAAATGCTGAATTTGACCAAGAACTTTTAAGAATATAAAAAAAAAATCACAAATAAGATCTTTCAAATTTTCAAGTAATACACACATCCAAATATAATTTCAAGTACTTTGAGACATGTAAAAGACAAAACTCTCAAGTTTATTATGAGATGGGTTTTTATGACATAATTCACTAAAAAAACTAAATATACTTAAAATGAAGAAAGTGTTTGGCACTGGGCTGCTGTTCCATGGAGAAGGGGGAGCCGAACCAATAGTAGGGAACCAAGAGTCTACTGAACTTGTGATGGGCTTACCAAATCAAGGGACAAAAACTGGAGTCCAGAGATTCCTAAACAAGGAAGTCCTGGTAATATCTTGTAAAGAACCATACTCTTAGAATCAGGGTTGACTTATAACTGCTATTTCCAAGGCTGGAACTCTTCAAGTACTGTAGATGGCCAAGAAAAATTAAAATTCATGATACTGAATCAAAATAGTGCCATTTGGGCAGTGTCCTAGAGCCTTGCAGAAAAAAGAAATGTGTTCTCTGAAGAGTGTGGGTTATTGCTGTGTTTTAAATATGGGTAAATTTTCCTCAGAAATCAAGCACTAAAGGCTTGGTATCCCGGGTGGCATGAATGCAGTGGAACTTTTAAGAAGTTTGGCCTCCTGGGAAATGCTTAGGTCACTGAGGATGTGAACTTGAGAAAATGTGGGACCATGACTCTTCCTCCCTCTGCTTTGGCTCATCACTTCCACATGCCCTTGCCCTGAGGTTTTGTCTCAGTAGAGGCCCAGAGCAATAGAACTACAAAATTAGGGAATAGACCCTTCAAAATTGTCAGCTGAAATAAATACTTTATCATACAAGGCAGTTGTTGCAATTATTTCATTACAGTGATAAGCAACTGACTTCATTAATTTTGTGTTTGTCTCCTTTATATTGAGCCACCTGCAAGCATGTTAACCATTCAAAGAGAGTCTCTCTAACCTTGCTCATCCCTCGAAACTTCAATCACGGTTTCTCTGTAATTCAGTCTGCTTTGTTGTTATAGCAGGGCTCTAGCAGGCCTAATAGTCTAGTTTTGGCCACCGGTCCCCAGGAAGCCATTTAAAGAGATGGCAAAAAGCAGAGAAGGGAGAGTTATTCAAAGAGAACACACAGGAAAAAGGAGGAGAAAAGGATGCTCACTGACCCCAAAGCCTGTCTTCTGGGTATTGACAGGAGCATATAGAGGAAGAATTGGGACAAAGGACAAGAGTTACTTATGATTAAGCAGTACTACCTGCTCTAGGTATAGTCTCCTTTCATTGATCATTGTCTCAGCTCTGGTCCTACAAGGTGGTCTGAAGAAGACCTTACTGCTGGAGAGAACAAGGTGGTTCTCTGGAGATTACTTCTGTACCAAGTATCGTCTCCCTCTCTTGGCTAATTATATATCAGGGTAAGGGGTTGGGGTGGAAGGAGGCTGTTCCTCATGATTTTGCAGATTCAGACACTAATTAACAATTCATCTCGGGCTACCTTTAGTACTCTAAATAGCCACTCCTTGTCTACTTCTGTGTCAGACCTAATATTCTGTGACTAACAGGAAAAGACATATTTTGGATATATTAACATAACCCTGGATTCTACTAATCAGAAGTCTAGGAATACCATCAGGCAGCATCTGAGGTCTAGCAGAGGTTTCTCTGCTTTACTTCAGCCCACCTACTTAATGTTTCCATCAATGTATTTTAAAAGCACCTTGATTATTTTCTTTTGTTTTGTTAATCTAGAAACTTTGTGAGGAGAAATTCCTGAAAAGAAGCTGTGTGTGCAGAGACTGGTTGTGGCTGATTAAAACTTCAATACTAGAGAGATCAGGATGTTGTAGGTCCAGAGGCTAATTACCTATCTTGGGCTAGTTCTAGCCTTCCAGAACAGCCATTCCTTCCCTACGTATTTGTCTTAATTAACATTCTGTTACTAACAGAAACCTTTTGGGATCTATTAACAGAGATCCTAGCCTGGCTGTGCCTCCTGAGTGCTGGGATTAAAGGCGTGTGCCACCACTGCCCAGCAGGGTATATGTTAATTTACAATATTCAATGATTACAGTATTCAATGATTACAGAAACAAGACAAAAATATTTTTATTTTCTGTATGCTCTGAGGGTACATGAAACACATGAAGTAAAACAGAGGCCAGTCAGTGTGAGG